GAGGTTCTAATAAAAACCTAGAGAACTAAAAACCAATCCTAACCCTCCAATCTATCTAATCCAATGGCCTACATTTCGATGGCAGAATTATAAATATAGACAAATTTAATACACATCAGCTGTAAAAAACAATGTGAAAATGGTAAAATTGGAATAGGGAGGTTCTAATAAAAACCTAGAGAACTAAAAACCAATCCTAACCCTCCAATCTATCTAATCCAATGGCCTACATTTCGATGGCAGAATTATAAATATAGACAAATTTAATACACATCAGCTGTAAAAAACAATGTGAAAATGGTAAAATTGGAATAATTTACTACATTAATGGTGAAAAGGGTAAAATTGGAACAATTCACTACATTAATGGTGGCTGGCAACATTGGAAACAATTCACTACATTAATTGGAACAATTCACTACATTAATCCAACACGTCCTTTCTAACTCACTTTTCCATTTCCCCATTTAATACAACACGTCCTTTAATACTCTCTGTAACTCACTTCCATCTTCTATCAAGCTTTGATCTTCCATCTTCGCATGAAGAACACAGCAACAATTCATTAAAAATCATCCTAACCATCCAAGCTTTCGCTGGAGTGAATATGGATTCACTCCATTGAATCTGAATTATATTGAAGCTCGATTCATTGGAGTGAATCCAGATTCACTGAATTGAATCCAGATTCACTGGACTGAAACTCGTTATCAAACAATAGCAAATCTGCAAAAATAAAAAACAAAAAGAATAAGAAACTTATGGGTAAAAAACAAGCTATAAAATTTTAAACCATGATAAGATTTCACATTTTACAGCAAAAAGTTACGATTTTTATGGTAAAAAACAAACACCTCACATAACTGAATCTGGATTCACTGCAGTGAATCTAGATTCACTCATGCATTTATTTCTTCGAAATTACAGCACATGCATTTATTTCTTCAACAATTCATTAAAAACCATCCTAACCATCCAAGCTTTCGCTGGAGTGAATCTGGATTCACTCCAGTGAATCCGGATTATATTAAAGAATAAGAAACTTATGGTAAAAAACAAGCTATAAAATTTTAAACAAAAAGAATAAGAAACTTATGGTAAAAAACAAGCTATAAAATTTTAAACCATGATAAGATTTCACATTTTACAGCAAAAAGTTATGATTTTTATGGTACAAAACAAACACCTCACATACTGAATCTGGATTCACTGCAGTGAATCTAGATTCACTCATGCGTTTATTTCTTCAAAATTACAGCACATGCATTTATTTCTTCAACAATTCATTAAAAACCATCCTAACCATCCAAGCTTTCGCTGGAGTGAATCTGGATTCACTCCAGTGAATCTGGATTCACTCCAGTGAATCTGGATTCACTCCAGTGAATCTGGATTCACTCCAGTGAATCTGGATTCACTCCAGTGAATCTGGATTCACTCCAGTGAATCTGGATTCACTCCAGTGAATCTGGATTCACTCCAGTGAATCTGGATTCACTCCAGTGAATCTGGATTCACTCCAGTGAATCTGGATTCACTCCAGTGAATCTGGATTCACTCCAGTGAATCTGGATTCACTCCAGTGAATCTGGATTCACTCCAGTGAATCTGGATTCACTCCAGTGAATCTGGATTCACTCCAGTGAATTGCATTTATTTCTTTAGGAATTTCAAATGGCAGGGGTTTTAACTTTTACTTGAACTTCACAGGTCAGACTTGTCAGTGATTAAATTTGAAATAAAATGGGAAAATCTATTACAATTGATAAGTTTTTCCAAAGGAAGAGAGGAAATGAATTAGGTCCTGCTGCTCCTATAACCCCTTCACTAGCCTCAAATGACAATGATCTTCCATCTGAAAATCCTCCTAAAAGATTTAAAAATCCAGATGGCGAAGAAGCTAATCTTAATTCCTTAGAGCGTGATCCAGTCTTGTGTCAACAAATATAGGAATACCCTCTTGACCAACGGGAGGAGATTCGTCGAGCTTATTTGAATCTAAAGGCATATCAACCTATTCTTCAAGATTATCCATTAAATAAGGCTATTAAGCATCCTCGAAGATTTCAATTTACTTGGTATGAGCTATTTCATTGGTTGGAGTATTCACCGGTTAAAGATAAAGCATATTGCTTTCCATGTTTTCTCTTCAACAAGCCATCAGGGTGCAAAAATCAAACTGCTTTTGTTGTTGATGGTTTTGATAGTTGGAAGAAAGTTCAAAGCGGAAAAGCATGTGATTTCCTAGGCCATATAGGAAAAGATAATGTATCTTCACTCCATCGTAATGTTGAAAAGGCATGTGAGGATTTGATGAACCAACCGTAACATATATCAAGGCGATTCGACAACTTCAATGTTGAACAAGTTGTAACAAATCGTCTTCGATTAAGAGCTCAGATACTTGTGGTGCGATTGCTTGCACTCCAAAGGGATTCCATTTAGAGGCCATGATGAGAAATCTAGTTTGTCCAATCGTGGCAATTTCTTGAATTTTTGGATGTGCTGGCCATGGAGAATGACGAACTTTCAAAGGCAATTGCGAAAGCTCCCAAAAATGCCAAATATACAAGTCATGATATTCAAAAACAAATACTTCACGTGTTTCCAGTGAGATTGAAAAATGCAATTCGTGAAGAAATTGGAGTTGCCAAGTATTGCATCATTGTTAATGAAGCCCGTGATGAGTCAAAAAAAGAGCAAATGTCTATTGTGTTGCGGTTTGTGGACACTAATGGATTCATTCAAGAACGTTTTTTTGGGTTTGTTCATGTTTTCGATACTGCATCTTTGACTTTAAACAACGTCATATATTCTGCTTTGGCTCATTACAATTTGGATGTTCAAAATATTAAAGGTCAAGGTTACGATGGGGCCAGTAATATGATGGGTGAATTCAATGGATTGCAAGCTTTGATTATGAAAGATTGTAAGACTACTTACTATGTTCATTGCTTTGCTCATCGGCTATAGTTGGCTCTTGTTGCGGCAGCAAAAAATCTGACTCCCATTCATATGTTTTTTGATAAATTAATTTCTATAGTTAATATGGTTAGTGCTTCTTGCAAGCGTAATGATGAATTGAAGAAAGCTCACGTGAATGACATTGCCCATTTGATTTCTATTAATGAACTCGAGACAGGGCCTGGACTTAATCAGATCGGCACTTTACAACGAGGTGCTGATACACGTTGGAGTTCTCATTTCAGATCATTATCAAGTTTGATCAGGATGGTCAGTGCAGCATGTATGGTGTTGCTCAAAATTATGGAGGATGGGCTTCCTTCCCAACGAGCTGATGCGACATCTGTTTATGATGAAATGACTTCGTTCGATTTTTTATTTATCTTGCATCTAACGAGTGAGATTATGGGAATCACGGGTTTTCTTTGCCAGACTTTACAAAGGAAGTCTCAAGACATTTCGAATGCAATGGAGCTTGTGTCATCTACAAAAAGATTACTACAAGAGTTAAGGGATGACAAGTAGGATAATTTGTTTGAAAAAGTGAAGTCTTTTTGTGTGGCTCGTAACATTAATATTCCTGATTTTAGTGCTCAATATGTTAATAGATGACGTCGAGCTCGTGGTCATCAAGACTGTTAGACCCTAGAGGGGGTGATTAGGGTCTATTGCTAATCTAATCCAGTATTATGCCAAATTAAAAATATATTGAACTATTTATTCTTGCAAAGATATATATGCAATATGATATGAGAAAGAATGTAAAAGGTAACAACGAAATAAATGTGCACAAAGCAATCACAAACACACGATATGATCATGGAGTTCGGTCCCCACGACCTACGTCTCCGATCCTCACCTTGAGGAGATCTACACTATCACTACACACCTGGTTTGGAAGCCGGAACTTCTTTTACACACTCAGTTATCAAGTTAACCGACAACTCTCACAAATCCTCACAATGTACATACACAAGCTACAACCTCAAGTGTTGGTCCTCACGTATCGCCTCCCTCAAGTGCTCGGAATTACCACCTCTCACTAGGCTTTACAACCGACGACACTCCTCTCGGTATCGACTACGTCCTCACCACACACTCCTCTTGGTGTACAAGTGTATTACAATGTGATCTCACAAATAAGTATGAATACATGAAAGGTTGTTCTCTACAATTGACGAGAACTCAATTAAGCTCACTCTCACTAGATCACACACCACTACCCAACAATATATTATATGAAATATAATAAGCTCAACAATGGTGTGTGATAAAATCAAGTAATAAAATTACAACTCAATTAATATAGCTAAGATGAAAATATGAGCAATTGATCAAAGAGCTATATAAACGGAGTTTAGAAAACTTCTCAATAAACAAGAGGAGATGAGGATGTGATCCTCAATTGAAGTTGAAACATTCCTCTTCTTGTAGTGCAACTCCTCTTTTGTATCAAACCAACAAACAAGGCTTAAACACCTCTTAAACACTTCTTAAATCTTTTATAAACTTGATTAAACAAAACTCTTGGTCAGTTGAGGAGTTGAATGCATAGGGGTATTTATAACAACTCCAAACAGCAACAAAAGCTAATGTAAAAAGACTAAAAACCCAAACAACAAAGTTGCTGGAAACTAACCGTTACTGTTTAACGGCTAGCTTGGTGGTCGATCACAGAGACAGGTCCGGTCGACCGCGAGCAATTGAGCAAACAAGAAAAACAGACTGGATCAATGGCGGTCGACCGTCGACCGCGAGCTATTAAAAGCATAGCTGAGTCTCTGGAAAAATGACGGTCGACCGTAGAGCCAAAGGCGGTCTACCGCGATCTGATATAAAAACAGAAACAGTCACTGGATGAAGTGTGGTTGACCGCAGAGACACATGCGGTCGACCGTGAGCTGATAAAAATAGTTTTTCAGGTTTAAAAAGAGGGTTTTTGTTGACATGTTAAAAACATCAAATAAGCTCCAAATTTTATGAAATTTGAGGATAAGTTTATAAACATGTCAATAAACATTTTGGTAAAGAAAATTTTTAAATTGTATTTCTATTTTAGAAAAATTACTGTTTCCTGTAAAAGACACTAAAATACATGTTTTATATTTTTTGACTTTTGACTTAAAAGCATGTTTTGCAAACTTATAGGAGATGTATATGAACATAAATAGAGATGTTGAAAGTGAGGAAACAGTCCAAAATACTTAGACACACATTTTGCATAAAAGTCCTATGTTATATTTATGTGTGTGTGTGTGTGTGTGTGTGTCTATATATATATATATATATATATATATATATAACATGCTAAAAACAATCATTAGTCGTAAATTGTTTGTAAGACCATCATCAAAATAAGAGGGCCAACAATCTCCCCCTTTTTGATGATGACAAACAATTTACATAGAGATATGGAATCAAGGAATTAAGGCATGTTAAAACAATGAAACAGTCTATACTCACATTCTCCATACTCACATTCTTTCTCCCCCTTTGGCAACATCAAAAAGGGTAAAAAAAATAGGCTCCCCTATCTTTATGCATGGGTGAGAATGTAAATAAGAATAATGGGATTGCTCCCCCTGCATAAGTGTAATATGAAAAGTATATACAACATACACATAGGAATGGAGCAAAGCTCCCCCTGTCAATAGGCATGAGTGAAATATCATATCCACACTCAACATGTACATGTCATAACAAGGAGGAGATATTAAATATGAATTTTGACCAAACCTACATATATATAAACAAGATCACAAAACATGAAAGCAAGAGCCACATAATATATATGAATCCACTACATAGGGTTATAACATAACCATCCAAGAACTAAACTACATCAAACCAAACCAAGACAAATATATCAAACTACTACATCCAAATGGTTTTAGTTTTGTGGCTAAACAAAAGTATATCACACATAGTCTTACAAACCAAAATAGACACTAGTTTTTCAAAAACACAATAAAAGCATAATAATCAACCTATGTTACTCTTCACCACCATCAGATTCTGCTTCGTCTGAGTCAAGGTCTTCATCAGAACCTTCAGCAGAGCCAGAAGCAGAACTGGAGCCATCATCTGAGCCAGGAATAGGGGTTGGAATCCCTAAGGAGAGGCTGGAATCCCTAAGGAGAGACGCTGAAGCCTGAGGAGCTCCTTCATGTCCCTCCGGAGACAAGACACCGAGGCATCCAGTTGATCCAATAGGCGTACAACCTCGCTGCTAGGAATAGGAGCTGTACGAGTATGAGGTCGAGGCCTGGAACTAGATGAAGGAGGCCTAGAAGAAGATGCAATTGCGGGAGGATCATGGATAGATGAAGGAGCTGGAAGTCCAGAAGGGGGATGAGGTGCATCTAAACGTATCCTGGAGATAGATGTTTTATCAAAGAATTCTTTATTAGCCTCTATCTTAGGCTCATTGGACAGATCAGCACCGAAGCTTCGAAAGATGAGGGTAAGGAACGAGCCAAATGGAAGAAATTTGGAATGGTCACTGATCATGTTCTCTAGAAAGACATTCCCCAAGTTGACTTTAATATGAGCAAAAATAGCATACACTGTATTGACTTTATCAGGAGCGAAGTGATCAAAACTCCCTGTTTTAGGGATCAAGTTGCAAGCAATGATACGAGCAAGGATTTTAGCTGAGGGAGACAAAGAGTTGTTGTTTTAGGGATCAAGTTGCAAGCAATGATACGAGCAAGGATTTTAGCTGAGGGAGACAAAGAGTTGTTGCTCATGGGGTAGGAGCAACCGGGACGAAATATCCTCTCATCAACAAAAGGGTGATCACGAGTGATTTGCATGAGATCGATGTCACTTGTCGGGATCTCGAGGATATCCGCAATATCATTGGCAGAAAACTCAATAAGGATTTCTTTAACAAGTGTACGAAGACGTTTGTTACCATCATTATCAAAGAACCCCGTACAGTTAGCATAGAAAAGATAAACTAGATAGGGATAGGTGGGCTCTAAAAACCTATTATCCAAAAGTTTGGAAAGCCCAACCTTAGCAAGAAGCTAAGGAATATGATAAGGCTCTAAATCATCATAATTGACAGTTCTCCCAGATAGAATTCTTAATTTACACAGTTGTCTATATTTAGGAATGAGGTAAGGATTCTTAAGATAATCCTCATAATGAGTGGGAATAGGAAGGGGAGCATTATCAGATTTTGATCTCTTTCTAGGAGGCATAATGAATCCGAAAAAGCTCCTAAAAATAGGTTAAGACCTAGAATGCAACCCTAGAGAATTGAAGAAAACACAGGAGGGGAGAGAGAGGATTTACCTAGCTGGAGGATACGAGCCCAATGAGGAGGAGAAGGAGCCACGGCCGACCATAATGGGAGTTGCGGTAGACCGAAAGTTTGAGGAATAGGGTTTCAAATTGGAACGATGAAATGAGAGAAGGTAAGAGGTCAGGTCCTAAAAAGATGGAATCAACGGTCAAGATGAGCTCTGGAGATGGATCAACGGTGGAGAGAAAGCGGGTTTAATAGAAAACCAACCCAAACCCGTAAACCCAATAAGCAAAAGCAGTCCAGAAAACAGATTTTATTTCTTCGCGGTCGACCGCATAGGGTTTGGCGGTCGACCGTGAAAAAAGCAGACAGTTCATGAAAAAGCAGACTCTTCATGGTTGACTGCATAGGGTTCGGCTGTAGACCATGAAAATAACAGATAGAAACAAAAAAATTAAAAGCTCATAGCGGTCGACCGCATAGGGTTCGGTGGTCGACCGTGAAAACAACAAATAAACACTCAGGTTCTGAAAAATTTACGGTCGATCGTAGTGACACACGCGGTCGACCGCTGGGCAATACCAGCAGTTTTTACTTATTTAAATTTTTTTTAAATAATTGTTGTATACATATATATACTTTTGAAAATATAAGGTAAATATAAACTTTATATTGTATTTTCAAACAGTAAAGTATTTTCATAAAGCATTCAATTTTGGCAAATTTTATTTAAAAACAAAATATTATCATAAAACCAAAAACATAAAAACAAAACGAAGTTAATCAAGGTCAAATTTGTTTTGGCACCCAACTATTGTTGGTGCCGGAAAATTTAGGGACATACCCCTATTATTTAAGTTTGAGGCCGTTGGATTATGAACCCATTTAGGTGTATTTTGTGCATTATGGTCAAAACAAAAATCATAAACATGACCCATACGATTGCAATTTATGCAATGTAAGGTTTGAAATTGTTTGTGTTGACCAAAGTGTTGTGCATGAGGCTTGTTTGCAAAAATAGGTCTTTCTTTGTAGTTATTTTGCAAACGAAAACTTCTTTTTAAATCAAAACAAAATTTTGTCAAGTGACCAAAACATCCACAAAATTCACATTTATACACATGAGCATATTTATGATAATCATTTTGTGTGTGTACATGTGAATGAGATGGAGAAGCTTGATGGTGTGCACAATCATGTGTAGGCTCGTTAATCTTTTGTGTATTTTGACAAGTTTTAGCTAAATGGCATTTACGACCGCAAATAGAGC